TACTGATATTATCATGCTTTTGTTCAGTTCAGTTCAGTTCAGTCGTGTCCGACTCTTTGAGACCCCATGGACTGCAGCACGCCAGGCTTCCCTGTCCATCACCAGCTCCCGGAGCTTGCTCAAATTCATGCCCATCAAGTCAATGATGCCATCCAACCATCTCATCCTCTGTCGACCCCTTCTCCTCCTACCTTCAGTCTTTCCCAGCATCAGGGTCTTTCCCAATGAGTCAGTTCTTTGCATCAGGTGGCCACAGTATTGGAGCGTCAGCTTCAGTATCAGTCCTTCCAATGAATATTCAGGATTAATTTCCTTTAGGATTGACTGGTTTGATCTCTTTGCAGTCCAAGGGACTCTCAAGAGTTCAGCACCACAGTTCAAAAGCATCAGTTCTTCGGTGCTCAGCTTTCTTTATAGTCCAACTCTCACATCCATACATGACTACTGGAAAAACCAGAGCTTTGACTAGATGGACCTTTGTCAGCAAAGTATTGTCTCTGCTTTTTAATATGCTGTCTCGTTTGGTCATACCTTTTCTTCCAAATTCGTGTCTGCAGTCACCACATGCAGTGATTTTGGAGCCCAAAAAAAGAAAGTCGATCACTGTTTCCGTTGTTTCCCCATCTATTTGCCATGAAGTGATGGGACCAGATGCATGATCTTAGTTTTCTGAAATTTGAGTTTTAACCCAACTTTTTCACTCTCCTGTTTCACTTTCATCAAGAGGCTCTTTAGTTCTTCACTTTATGCCATAAGGGTGGTGTCATCTGCAAATCTGAGATTATTGATATTTCTCCCAGCAATCTTGATTCCAGCTTGTGTTTCATCCAGCCCAGCATTTCTTATGATGTACTCTGCGTATAAGTTAAATAAGCAGGGTGACAATATACAGACTTGATGTACCCCTTTCCCAGCCTGGAACCAGTTTGTTGTTCCATGTCCAGTTCTAACTGTTGCTTCTTGACCTGCATACAGATTTCTCAGGAGGCAGGTCAGGTGGTCTGGTATTCCTATCACTTAAAGAATTTTCCACAGTTTGTTGTGATCTGCACAGTCAAAGGCTTTGGTGTAGTCAATAAAGCAGAAGTAGATGTTTTTCTGGAACTCTCTTGCTTTCTCGATGATCCAACGGATGTTGGCAATTTGATCTCTGGTTCCTCTGCCTTTTCTAAATCCAGCTTGAACATCTGGAAGTTCCCGGTTCACGTACTGTTGAAGCCTGGCTTGGAGAATTTTGAGCATCACTTTGCTAGCGTGTGAGACGAATGCAATTGTGCAGTAATTTGAACATTTTTTGGCATTGCCTTTCTTTGGGATTGGGATGAAAACTGACCTTTTCCAGTCCTGTGATCACTGCTGAGTTTTCCAAATTTGCTGGCATATTCAGTGCAGCACTTTAACAGTATCATCTTTTAGGATTTGAAATAGTTCAACTGGAATTCCATCACCTCCACTAGCTTTGTTCGTAGTGATACTTCCTAAGGCCCACTTGACTTTGCATTCCAGGATGGCTCTAGGTGGGTGATCACACCATCGTGGTTATCTGGGTCATGATCTTTTTTGTATAGTTCTTCTGTGTATTCTTGCCACCTCTTCTTAATATATTCTGCTTCTATTAGGTCCATACCATTTCTGTCCTTTATTACGCCCATCTTTGCATGAAAGTTTCCCTTGCTATCTCTAATTTTCTTGAAGAGATCTCTAGTCTTTCCCATTCTATTGTTTTCCTCTGTTTCTTTGCATTGATCACTGAAGAAGGCTTTCTTATCTCTCCTTGCTATTCTTTGGAACTCTGCATTCAAATACCCATTTGAATGGGTGTATCTTTCCTTTTCTCCTTTGCCTTTTGCATCTCTTCTTTTCTCGGCTATTTGTAAGGCCTTCTCAGACAACTGTTTTGCCTTTTTGCATTTTTTTCTTGGGGATGGTCTTGATCACTGCCTCCTGTACAATGTCACGAACCTCCGTTCATAGTTCTTCAGGCACTCTATCAGATCTAATCCCTTGAATCTATTTGTCACTTCCACTGTATAATCATAAGGGATTTGATTTAGGTCATACCTGAATGGTCTAGTGGTTTTCCCTACTTTCTTCAATTTAGGTTTGAATTTTGCAATAAGGAGTTCATGATCTGAGCCACAGTCAGCTCCTAGTCTTGTTTTTGCTGACTGTATAGAGCTTCTCCATCTTCGGCTGCAAAGAATATAATCAGTCTGATTTTGGTGTTGACCATCTGGTGCTGTTCATGTGTAGAGTCTTCTCTTGTGTTGTTGGAAGAGGGTGTTTGCTATGACCAGTGCATTCTCTTGGCAAAATTCTGTTAGTGTTTGCCCTGCTTCATTTTGTACTCCCAGGCCAAACTTTCATGTTACTCCAGGTATCTCTTGACTTCCTACTTTTGCATTCCAGTCCCCTATAATGAAAAGGACATCTTTTTTTGGTGTTAGTTCTAGAAGGTCTTGTAGGTCTTCATAGAACCATTCAACTTCAGGTTCTTCAGCATTACTGGTCGGGGCATAGACTTGGATTACTGTTATATTGAATGGTTTGCCTTGGAAACAAACAGGGATCATTTTGTCGTTTTTGAGACTGCATCCAAGTACTGCATTTCAGACTCTTTTGTTGACTATTAGGGCTACTCCATTTCTTCTAAGGGATTCTTGCCCACAGAAGTAAATATAATGGTCATCTGAGTTACATTTGCCCATTCCAGTCCATTTTAGTTCACTGATTCCTAAAATGTCGATGTTCACTCTTGCCATCTCGTTTGACCACTTCCAATTTACCTTGTTTCATGGGCCTAACATTCCAGGTTCTTATGCAATATTGTTCTTTACAACATCAGACTTTACTTCCATCACCAGTGACATTCACAACTGGACGTTGTTTTTGCTTTGACTCCATCTCTTCATTCTTTCTGGAGTTATTTCTCCACTCTTCTCCAGTAGCCTATTGGGCACCAACCGTCCTGGGGAGTTCATCTTTCAGTGTCATATCTTTTTGCCTTTTCATACTGAAAATGGGCTTCTCAAGGCAAGAATACTGAAGTAGTTTGCCATTCCCTTCTCCAGTGGACCACGTTTTGTTAGAACTCTCCACCATGACCTGTGAATCTTGGGTGGTCCTACATGGCATGGCTCATAGTTTCATTGAGTTAGACAAGGCTGTGGTCCATGTGATCAGTTTGATTAGTTTTCTCTGATTGTGGTTTTCATTCTGTCTGCCCTCTGATGGATAAGGATAAGAGGCTTATGGAAGCTTCCTGATGGGAGACTTTGAAAGAAAGTGAAGTCGCTTAGTCATGTCCAACTCTTTGTGACCTCATGGACTGTAACCTACCAGGCTCCTCTGTCCATGGGATTCTCCAGACAAGAATACTGGAGTGGGTTGCCATTTCCTTCTCCAGGGGACCTTCCCCACCCAGGGATCAAACCTGGGTCGCCCACATTGCAGGCAGATGCTTTACTGTCTGAGCCACATTGACTGTGGGGGAAACTGGGTCTTGCTCTGATGGGCGAGGCCATGCTCAGTAACTCTTTAATACAAATTTCTGTTGATGGGCAGAGCTGTGTTCCCTCACTGTTGTTTGACCTAAGACCAAACTATGGTGGAGGTAATGAAGATAATGGCGACCTCCATTGTTCATTGAGGTCTTATTTGGGGGGGGAGGTTGAATTTGAGCTTTTATTTCCTTCTGGATCATCACTCTACAATGCTTTCTTCCATGGTTAATTATTTTTTTATTTATTTTTAACTGGAGGATAATTGCTCTACAATGTTGTGTTGGTTTCTGCCATCAGCATGAATCAGCCATAGGTAGACATATAGCCGGTCCCTCTTGAACCTCTCTCTCACCTCCCACTGCATCCCACCTCTCCAGGTTGTTACCGAGCGCGGGTTGAGCCTGCTGTGTCACACAGTGAGTTCCCACTGGCTATCCGTTTTGGGGCTTCCCGGTAGCTCAGTCAGTAAAAAATCTGCCTGCAGTGTAGGAGACCTGGGTTCGATCCCTGGGTTGGGAAGATCCTCTGGAGAAGGAAATGGCTACCCACTCCAGTATCCTTGCCTAGAAAATCCAATGGGCAGATGAGCCTCGTGGGCTGCAGTCCATGGGATCACAGAGAGTCGGGCATGACCAAGCGACTAACACTTTCACTTTCTTGTGGCTCAGCTGGTAAAGAATCCACCTGCCATGCAGGAGACCTGGGTTCAATCCCTGGGTTGGGAAGATCCCCTGGAGAAGGGAAAGGCTACCCACTCCAGCATTCTGGCCTGGAGAATTCCATGGGCTATATAGTCCATGGATCACAAAGAGCTGGACATAACTAAGTGACTTTCACTTCACTTCATCTGTTTTACATATGGTAATGTATGCTTCAATGCTCAGTTTGTCCCACTCTCTTCTTCCCCGGCTCTTCTCTATGTCTGAGTCTCTATTCCTGCCCTGCAGATAGGTTCATCAGTACCGTTTTTCTAGATTCCATGTATATGTGTTAATATATTATATCCGTTTTTCTCTTCTGACCTACTTCACTCTGTATAACAGGCTCTAGCTTCATCCACCTCGCTAGAACTGACTCGAATTCATTGCTTTTATGGCTGAGCAATATCCCCTCGCATATATGTACTACAACTTCTTTATCCATTCATCTGTTGATGGACATCGAGGTTGCTTCCGTGTCCTGGCTATTGTAAATAATGCTGCAATGAACATGGGGTACATGTGTCTTTCAGAATTGCAATTCTCAGGGTATAGCCCAGTAGTGAGATTTCTGGGTCATATGGTAATCTTATTCCTAGTTTTTAAAGAAGTCTCCATACTATTCTCCATGGTGACTCCATAGTATTCTCTGTAGTGGCTTCACTGAGGTCTTGAAGACTGAGATCTTTCATGCTCTTCCCCCTCACAAACGGCAGAGGGCGACATAGACGGCGAGATCCCAGCCACAGCACGACAGACGCAGCGCATTACGCGCCACGCGGTGGCGCTAAGCCACAGGATGTCCGATTTTCCGCAGTTTGGGGCGCAGAAGAGAGGTGACGGAGTGAGAGGGTAGACGAGGGTAAAGGGGAACCCTGGGAGCCTAGGACGTCTGAACCAAAGGATCGGGTCCCTGAATGGACTGAGTAGCGCCCGCGTTCCCAAGACATAGTAGAATCAGTAGGGAATGAATGGGTCTTGGAGTCCTTTTGAATACGAGGGCGCCCCCTTCCTCCCAGCGCCGGGTCTGCAACCCCTTTCCTGGCGCAGTTTCTCCGCCTGGACGCCTGAGAGACGGAGCGCGCGCTCTCCTCCCTTCTTCGCTGTAGCTCATTCATCTGCGGCCGCGGCACGCCGTTGCCATGGAGACCTGATGCAGGCGGTGGGGAGGGAGGCCCCGGGTGACGTCTGCGATGCTCGCAGCTCATCTCTCGCGGCCTCCCAGTTCTTGCCTATTTTGGAAGAGAGCCGCAGCCCTTCTGCTGATGCGCGCGCGCTGGCGCCTTTTAAAGGCAACCGGCGGAGCGGCGGCTCAGCCAGAGCCCGAGAGCTGCCCCCGCCCCCGAGCCACAAGCCCCGGGGCCTGGGCCCGGGAAGCCTCCGGGGCCGTGCCCCACACCCTCCCCAATCTTAGCGCCCTCCACCCACTTTGGGGACATTCCAACCTTGGAGAAAGGCGGGCCTGCCCTTGCCTCCTCCCCTCCCGCCCCCCCCCCCCCCCCCCCCCCCGCCAATCTCCCTCCAACAGACAGACTCCTTCCATAGGAACCTTGGAAGGAAACAAAACGCCAGGCCTAGAGCGTTTGGGAATCCTCTCTGGACAAGGCCACTGAGTGAAAATTCCAGGTGAGGACTTCGCTGCTGGCTGGGCCACCCTGGGTCTCTGAAGACCCATGCTCCCTCCAACTGCCTGCCTCAGTCTTTTTCTCCTTGGGGACAGCCTGAGGTCAGGTTAGGATCCTAGCTGGAAGGACTCTCAGGAGTTTCTCCAAACCTCTCATTAAACTGAAAGAGAAATAGGCCCAGAGAAGCGTAGGGACTTGCCCAAGGTCACATGGCACGTTCCTGGATGACATGGGCCAGAGCCCAGGGATGCTGACTTCTTAGCCAAACTCGTTCCCCTGGGGCTTAATATTGAAAACAGCCGGCACCGTGTGCCAGTCTCCAGTTCCTGCCCTGTACCCAACCGAGGGGACAGACACCTCTCACAGCAGTGGCGCCAGCTGCTTCATTTTCCCAGCAGAGTCCAGACCTAGGTAGGCTTTCTGGATTGATGATTACTTTGGACAAGCTTCTGGATCCCGTGGACTCCATGACCAAACAGCCAGGTGACTGCTTACAAACATCTGCTGCCATCAGAAGCTTCTGGAAACCCACCAGCTCTCTGGAACTTTCTGGAGCCAGACCTTCTCCATGCTGCTTATGGCTTCTGGATGGAGGCGTCGCCTGCAGGCTCTGGCCGGGTCGCCAGTGGACCCAGCTCTTTGAACTCCTCCCACCCAATCCTGATGATGCCTGCGTTCTCTCTGCAACACCTGCAGGGGTGTTTGACCAGGATTCACTGAAGACAGCTGTGAAGTACTTGACCATGCCCAAGTATGCATGGAACTGTGTAGGTTCCAGACATCTCTGGGCCCCTACTCTGGACCAGGGCTGGGGACCCAAAGGTGGGTATGATCCAGCCCAACAGTGGGCACCAACTCTGGCAAAGGAGAGAGGTTCATATTCTGGAGATGTTAACCTTGGACTTGAATCATTCTTCCAAGGGGCATCCATTGTCAGGGCCATACCTTCAGTGCACAGAAGGGGAAACTGAGGCAGCCCTCCAAGAGATGTTATCTGCCAAAGTCACACAGCAAGTCAGTGCATTGTTGAGACTAAGACCCAGAACCCTGCGTCCTGGCCCAGGCTCTCTCTCTCCACCTTGATCTCAGAGACCAGCCTTTGAGAGGTGCTCGGAAGGTCATTGTGCTGTGACTCAGGTTCCTGGTTCAGGCTGCCCCTCTACTAAGGATGGGCCGTGTCACTTGAGCTACTTCATTCTCTGCGTGAGGCCTGAGTCACTCCAGGTGGATGATCTCTGAGGGGCCCCCACTTCAGTTGTGAGTCTGGGATCCTCTGAGAGGGGTCCCTTGCCAGGCTGTGGACGCTCTCTGTGATGGTCTGTGGGACATTTCTAGGAGGGCTTTCTTCCTCCCACCAGACCGAAGCTAAACAATACTGGAACTAGTAGTTGCTTCAACCACAGGCTGTGCTGACTGCCTGAGGATGACCTGGGGTCTGTTTTATACCCCTTGGAATCTATCGGATCCCCCAACGGTGAGTCCCCTGGTGCTCTTAGCACAGACCTGTGAGAAATGCCCCTGGTGGATTGGGTTTGAAGGAGAACCATACCGGTACTTGGCTCCACTTCCCTTGCCCCTCTATATCCACAAGGGGCCAGGTCTGCAGGCCCAGCATGGCCCTGATCATCCAGGGCTGAGGACTCGGTCCTCTGGGAGACATCAGGTCCACTCAGACCCCGGCCCTGGGCACGTGGGCTCATTCCCACCTGAGGCTGGGTCTCAGGGCAGCAGCATTGGACTTGTAGACCCAGAGAGGCACTGGCCAGCTGGGCCCTGGGCCCAGAGATGCTCAAAGTGCCAGAGATGGGAAGGCCCTTCCAAGCCAAGGGGTCCAAACCACTCACCTGTTGTTTTGCAAATAGGGGAACTGATGGGCCTTACATAACTCCCCAGTAGGCTGTTGATGGGGCTAGGGCCAGAATCCATGTCTCCAGACCCCCCTGTCCAGGACTCTTTCCCCTGCATCAAATATGATCCACTGACATCTACACTGAGCCCACCTCCAGGTCATCCCAGACCTTCGAATCCTTGGAGAAGGCTCCTCCAGCCCACCCTTGTCTGCACTGGGTAAGTCAGGAGCCTTCCCCTCAACAAGGTGGTCCTTTCTCCTAAAGCTTCCTGGTGCCCCCTCCCCATTCATCTAGGGCTCATCTCTTCCTGGTTCCAGAAGCTTCTCTGTCAGTAGACCATAACTGCTGCTACCTGCTTCTTGCCATGATTTGACCAATTCCCTGCAGTTCCAGGTTCCTAGGGGGTGGGTGTCATCATTCTTTCTGCTTTTGGGGTGGTCTCTTGGTTGCTCCTAGGGCTTCTCTTCTGTCACTGGCCCGGGCCCAGGCCTGCTGCTCTTCCATGGTCACCCCAGCCTTGAATCCCTTCAGTCTCTCCCGAGACTTCATGGGACACTCCCTGCAGACTTCCTCTCTGCTGAGCCTGAGTTCCAGTGGAAATAACAATAGCCTAGGTATCACTGGGCCCCTGTGAGGTGTGTGTGAATGAGCTAATGCACGATTAGGTATATAAGGCATAGGTAAGTGTCGCATCCATAAACTCTTATGTTACAAGATGCATGAGATGATAACAAGGAAACCCTTGAACCTGGAGCCTACAGTGGCCTAGGCCTCTGTGGGAAGAAGAGGTGAGAGGCCCAGGAGACCTTTAGTAACAGGGGGAGATGGCAGCCATCAGGACCTTACGCTGGGGAAGGACACTGTCAGGTTGACTTCCAGGAAAACGGCGGGGAGAGCCTGGCCGCTGAGCACAGTCAGGGCCTCTGTCCTTGAACTGTGCAGGGGCCAGCCCGGGGTAGGAGTACACTGGGGCCAGCGGGAGCCCCAGGAGGAATTTGTCTGCCTCCTTAGACCTCTCTGGGCCTCTAGCTGTCATCTCCTCTCCTTCTCTTTGAAACTGTTGCAGCCCCCAGCCTGCCCCACTCCAGGTTGTGCTCTCAGACCCAGCCAAGCCAAGGCTGTGAAAATCCAGTGCGTGTCCAGGCCCTGTCCCCACACTCGCAGTGATAGGGCATGTGCTACCTCCAGAACCAGTCCTGCTGTCTCTCCAGAACCTTGTTCAAAATCTTATTTTCATGAAGCTAACAGTGACTGAGATTCCATCTTTCAACATTGATTGTGCCCCTTTTGTATGCCAGGCATGATTCCAAGTGCTTTAATGATTTAACTCATTTAATTTTCTCATCATCCTTTGAGGTAGATGCTACTGTTCTCACATCCCCATTTGAAAGATAGATAAACGGAGGCACAAGAAGTTGATTCATTTGCCCAATATGGAGGAGCCAGGACTCCGAGTGGCTGTCTCACTCCAGAGCCTGCCTCCTGGCCTCCACCCTCTCCTGCCTCTCTGAGCCTCAGGCTCCCTCCCACTCACGTGCGTTTCCACAGAAAATTTATTGGCCTTTTGCCCACAGACCCCTCTGCTCAAGACTGAGCCATTTCATCTCAGTCCTGCCCCGGGAGTCAAACTTCCTGGTCAAAGTGGGGATCAGCTGCCCTTAACAGCAGCTGCCCCCCCCCGGCACCTTCATGCTGTGCATACATACACATGGCCCCAGGCTTGGTGGCTGGTTTTTCGGCTTCTTTGTGGCTCGGGTGGCTGAACGCCGCTTGTCCCTCTAAGCATCCTGTGATGCTGCGATCTGCCCACCCCACCCTACCCACTCAGCACAGCAGAACCTGGTCAGCCAGTCACCTGAGACCTGGCAACTCAGCCTAATCACACCTCCTCTGGGAAGCCACCCCAGACTCCCAGGCTCAGTCATCCCTCATTTTGCTCTTCCCAAACACCCTGCATGCCTCCTTCACAGCAGTCTTTCCACCTCTATGGCTTGATTGAGTTCTCACTTTCTCACCAGCCTGGATACTCCACAAGTGAAGACCAAGACTGTTTCTAAACCATTGTATTGCCAGTGCCTAAACGGAGCTTGGGCACAAACTCAGCCCTGAGATGTGTGTGCATGAATGAATGACGTACCTGAGGCACTGCTGTGGGCTGGACCCCGTGCTAGAGGCTTTGAATATGGAGACCAAGCACAGATGCTGGTGGGAGAGAGGGTCATGATGGGCATTGAAGGGGGGCCCTGGACCCAACCAAAGGACACGAGGACAAGGAGGAGTTTGCCAGCTGAAAAGCGGTGATGGAGAGGGTCCTGAAACTGGGCTGAACTAATGCATGAATGTGCGGAGGGTCTGTCTGTCCCCCACGGAGGAGGGGGGAGGAGCTCCAGCTCTGTGAGGGCAAGGCAGACATCCTGCACCCCTGTCTCCCCCTTGGTGCTTGGGGGAGTATTGGGTCCCTTCTCTGCATCCAAAGAGTAGTTTTAGTTGATGGATCTTCCTTCTCAACTTGGAACATGGCTGGTCTGACATGCTCCTCACTGCATCGCTTGTGCCCTCTTTTCTCGGCTCTGCTTTCAGGCCCTTGCCTGGGAAAGCTGCATCTTTTCCCACCTGAGCTACACCCCCTGCCTCCCACCCACCCCATGTTTCCCTGCCCCTCACCTTCTCTGCTCAGCCCACTCACCTGGCTCTGACCATCTCAGTGGGTGGGTGCCAGCGTGTACCCTCTTCCCATCAGATTTGTTGATTTCATAACCATAAATAGACGAAATGTTCTGAATGCTTCCCTAGGCAAGTAGAATTGGGGGAGTGATAACATAATAAAAGGACCTTAAGAGAAAGAAAACAGCCTGCTAAGAGGCAGCCTTTGCACAAACCAGCTCTACACAAGGATTATGTTTTCACTACAGACAGGTGGACTCTAGACCCAGGATGGG